CTAATTGTACTTTTTTGATCAAATAGTTTGAGACATGCCCTTTGTTGATATGTCTACGCAATTTCTTCAACGTGAATTTAAATCACGTCAGTAATAAATTATAAGAGATTTACACTGATAGCACCTGAAGTGACTTTGCGTGGTGCATCCTTTTTTTTGGTTAAATTCTTATTTTGGTCCTTAAACTATTGTACAGATTCTCGATTTGGTCCCTGAACTAAAGAAATCTCTGATTTGGTCCTTAAACTATTGTACGGACCCCCAATTTAGTCCTTACTGTTTACAATTTTGCCCCAATTTGGTCCTGAGCTATTATTTAACAGAATGACCAAGTTGGAGTTAAATTGGTAAATAATAGGGACCAAATTGGACATCCGTACAATATTTTAGGCACTAATTTGGGAGTCTGTACAATAGTTTAGGGATCAACTTAGGGTCCGTACAATAGTTTAAGGACCAAATTAAGGATTTCTTTAGTTCAGGGATCGAGGGTCCGTAAAATAGTTCAGGGACCAAAATAGGGGTTTAACCATTTTTTTTTTTTAAGATTTTGAACCGGTCTTATGATACATGGTTAAAAATAGAAAAAAAAAAACACTTACACTGATAAGTATTTTTTTAACATGTTTCAAGTTAAAAGGATTCTTTTGTCGACATTATCCCCTGAATTTCCGATGAGATTTCTGATAATGTATTTGAGTAGCGGTGGCGTTTTTTGTTTTATTTTTTTATATAATTTTTATATATTATTAAATAAATATATTTATTTAATATTATAAATCTTATATAAATTAAAAAAATCAATAATTTTAATAATATATCAAATCATACAAAATAAAATAATTATATAAAAAATATTTCCATTCTAGTAGGGACACCCTAATAAAAACCACAAGAACTACATCAGATTTCTTGTACAAATTAAATCCAACGTCCCCAAGGGAACACAACAAACATGAAACTTGCCATGTTACGCTTGCGCCACTCCTTTCTCCTCTCTGTGTTGCTTTTATCCCTCGCAGCCATACAAACCACCCAAGCCGCAGTCGAATATGTCGTCAACTACAACGCTGGAAGCAGCAGCGGAGGCACCCGATTCACCAACGAAATCGGAACGGACTACAGCAGACAGACCCTAACATCGGCCACGGATTTCATCTGGAGGCTGTTCCAGCAGAACAACGACGCTGACAGGAAGAACGTGCCGAAGGTCACCTTGTTCATCGACAACATGGACGGCGTGCCGGCCTATTCCCAGAACAACGAAATCCACGTCAACGCCAATTACCTCGGAAACTACTCAGGCGACGTCAAGAGGGAGTTCACCGGGGTGTTATATCATGAGATGACACATATCTGGCAGTGGAACGGGAACCAGCAAGCCCCCGGGGGGTTGATAGAGGGGATAGCAGACTTTGTGAGGTTGAAGGCAAGCTATGCGCCTAGCCACTGGGTGAAGGCGGGGCAGGGCGACCGGTGGGATCATGGGTACGATGTTACGGCGAGGTTTTTGGATTATTGCAATGATCTTAAGAATGGATTTGTTGCGGAGCTGAATAAGAAGATGAGAAATGGGTATAAT